AGGTACGACCGTGCCCGGCCGTGCTATAAAGCGACTCGGCTCTCTAACAGGCTGCAGCCCAGAGCCACACGGAGTCTACGCGCATCGCTTGTGCATAGCCTCGACCAATCTCCTGTTCACGGTGCAACCGTGAACAAAGAGCTTCTTCGAACGGTTACAAACACGACGCGAGCCGCCCAGCAGGGAGCCTGGGCGACTCGCTTTGACCTCCCCCCCCGCCCCACAGTGCGCCAGCGGCGCATTTGGGATGGACACCACACGTCGTCACACCGAGCAGCTCTCTGTCAACGGAAATTTCTCAGTTCTGATGCGTCATCCGGATGGAGCAACTGGCTTTGCTTAGATTGGGAGTCCTTTTGCTATGTGCTCTACGCGGGGAACTATGCCTCTTTTAGCCTCATCCTGCAGGCGATAGCCCAGCCCGCGTGCAGCGGTGGCGGCGACACTTGCAACACGAGCACGCCTCGCTTCGGCGCGCTCGATCCTTCACAACGGGCCGCCCGCAAGGACGCGTGTGCGGCCCTCTCTACTCGACCTGTGCCACGGCACGGGTCGTTCTAGTCATGCAGCCGCCCCGGCGATCGTGCTCGGGGCGTATCTCAGCACTCACCGCGCGAGACGCGTGGCGTGCCACAAACCAGTAAGCAGCAGCCTCCGCTGCTGCGACTCGAATGCTTCAAACGCGCACCTGTGCTTGCGCACGGCGTGCTCTACACGAGCCCCCCGGCCGCACGAGCGTACGGGCGGCTCGAATCCACCCTTCCCCCGCCCTAGCCACTGTTGGCTGGGCGGTGGGCGCCGTCCGCCTTGCGGCGGCGGCGACACTTGCAACACGAGCACACCTCGCTTCGGCGCGCTCGACCCTTCGCAACGGGCCGCCCGCAAGGACGCGTGTGCGGCCCTCTCTACTCGGCCTGTGCCACGGCACGGGTCGTTCTAGTCATGCAGCCGCCCCGGCGATCGTGCTGGGGGCGTATCTCAGCACTCACCGCGCGAGATGCGTGGCGTGCCACAAACCAGTAAACAGCAGCCTTCGCTGCTGCGACTCGAATGCTTCAAACGCGCACCTGTGCTTGCGCACGGCGTGCTCTACACGAGCCTCCCTACCGCACGAGCGTGCGGGCGGCTCGAATTCACCTTTCCCCCGCCCTAGCCACTGTTGGCTGGGCGGTGGGTGCCGTCCGCCTTGCGGCGGCGGCGACACTTGCAACACGAGCACACCTCGTTTCGGTATGCTCGATCCTTCACAATGGGCCGCCCGCAAGGACGCGTGTGCGGCCCTCTCTACTCGACCTGTGCCACGGCACGGGTCGTTTTAGTCATGCAGCCGCCCCGGCGATCGTGCTCGGGGCGTATCTCAGCACTCACCGCGCGAGACGCGTGGCGTGCCACAAACCAGTAAGCAGCAGCCTCCGCTGCTGCGACTCGAATGCTTCAAACGCGCACCTGTGCTTGCGCACGTCGTGCTCTACACGAGCCTCCCTACCGCACGAGCGTGCGGGCGGCTCGAATCCACCCTTCCCCCGCCCTAGCCACTGTTGGCTGGGCGGCGGGCGCCGTCCGCCTTGCGGCGGCGGCGACACTTGCAACACGAGCACGCCTCGCTTCGGCGCGCTCGACCCTTCACAACGGGCCGCCCGCAAGGACGCGTGTGCGGCCCTCTCTACTCGACCTGTGCCACGGCACGGGTCGTTCTAGTCATGCAGCCGCCCCGGCGATCGTGCTCGGGGCGTATCTCATCACTCACCGCGCGAGACGCGTGGAGTGCCACACAAACCAGTAAGCAGCAGCCTTCGCTACTGCGACTCGAATGCTTCAAACGCGCACCTGTGCTTGCGCACGGCGTGCTCTACACGAGCCTCCCTACCGCACGAGCGTGCGGGCGGCTCGAATTCAAACCAGTAAGCAGCAGCCTCCGCTGCTGCGACCCGAATGCTTCAAACGCGCACCTGTGCTTGCGCACGGCGTGCTCTACACGAGCCTCCCTACCGCACGAGCGTGCGGGCGGCTCGAATTCACCTTTCCCCGCCCTACCGACTGTTGGCTGGGCGGTGGGCGCCGTCCGCCTTGCGGCGGCGGCGACACTTGCAACACGAGCACACCTCGCTTCGGCGCGCTCGACCCTTCACAACGGGCCGCCCGCAAGGACGCGTGTGCGGCCCTCTCTACTCGACCTGTGCCACGGCACGGGTCGTTCTAGTCATGCAGCCGCCCCGGCGATCGTGCTCGGGGCGTATCTCAGCACTCACCGCGCGAGACGCGTGGCGTGCCACAAACCAGTAAGCAGCAGCCTTCGCTGCTGCGACTCGAATGCTTCAAACGCGCACCTGTGCTTGCGCACGGCGTGCTCTACACGAGCCTCCCTACCGCACGAGCGTGCGGGCGGCTCGAATCCACCCTTCCCCCGCCCTAGCCACTGTTGGCTGGGCGGCGGGCGCCGTCCGCCTTGCGGCGGCGGCGACACTTGCAACACGAGCACACCTCGCTTCGGTGTGCTCGATCCTTCACAACGGGCCGCCCGCAAGGACGCGTGTGCGGCCCTCTCTACTCGACCTGTGCCACGGCGCGGGTCGTTCTAGTCATGCAGCCGCCCCGGACTCACCGCGCGAGACGCGTGGAGTGCCACACAAACCAGTAAACAGCAGCCTCCGCTGCTGCGACTCCATGCTTCAAACGCGCACCTGTGCTTGCGCACGGCGTGCCCTACACGAGCCTCCCTACCGCACGAGCGTGCGGGCGGCTCGAATCCACCCTTCCCCCGCCCTAGCCACTGTTGGCTGGGCGGTGGGTGCCGTCCGCCTTGCGGCGGCGGCGACACTTGCAACACGAGCACACCTCGCTTCGGTGTGCTCGATCCTTCACAACGGGCCGCCCGCAACGACGCGTGTGCGGCCCTCTCTACTCGACCTGTGCCACGGCACGGGTCGTTTTAGTCATGCAGCCGCCCCGGCGATCGTGCTCGGGGCGTATCTCAGCACTCACCGCGCGAGACGCGTGGCGTGCCACAAACCAGTAAGCAGCAGCCTCCGCTGCTGCGACTCCATGCTTCAAACGCGCACCTGTGCTTGCGCACGGCGTGCTCTACACGAGCCTCCCTACCGCACGAGCGTGCGGGCGGCTCGAATCCACCCTTCCCCCGCCCTAGCCACTGTTGGCTGGGCGGCGGGCGCCGTCCGCCTTGCGGCGGCGGCGACACTTGCAACACGAGCACGCCTCGCTTCGGCGCGCTCGACCCTTCACAACGGGCCGCCCGCAAGGACGCGTGTGCGGCCCTCTCTACTCGACCTGTGCCACGGCGCGGGTCGTTTTAGTCATGCAGCCGCCCCGGCGATCGTGCTCGGGGCGTATCTCAGCACTCACCGCGCGAGGTGCGTGGCGTGCCACAAACCAGTAAACAGCAGCCTTCGCTGCTGCGACTCGAATGCTTCAAACGCGCACCTGTGCTTGCGCACGGCGCGCTCTACACGAGCCTCCCGGCCACACGAGCGTGCGGGCGGCTCGAATCCACCCTTCCCCCGCCCTAGCCACTGTTGGCTGGGCGGTGGGCGCCGTCCGCCTTGCGGCGGCGGCGACACTTGCAACACGAGCACACCTCGCTTCGGCGCGCTCGACCCTTCACAACGGGCCGCCCGCAACGACGCGTGTGCGGCCCTCTCTACTCGACCTGTGCCACGGCACGGGTCGTTCTAGTCATGCAGCCGCCCCGGCGATCGTGCTCGGGGCGTATCTCAGCACTCACCGCGCGAGACGCGTGGCGTGCCACAAATCAGTAAACAGCAGCCTTCGCTGCTGCGACTCGAATGCTTCAAACGCGCACCTGTGCTTGCGCACGGCGTGCTCTACACGAGCCTCCCTACCGCACGAGCGTGCGGGCGGCTCGAATCCACCCTTCCCCCGCCCTAGCCACTGTTGGCTGGGCGGCGGGCGCCGTCCGCCTTGCGGCGGCGGCGACACTTGCAACACGAGCACACCTCGCTTCGGTGTGCTCGATCCTTCACAACGGGCCGCCCGCAAGGACGCGAGTGCGGCCCTCTCTACTCGGCCTGTGCCACGGCACGGGTCGTTCTAGCCATGCAGCCGCCCCGGCGATCGTGCTGGGGGCGTATCTCAGCACTCACCGCGCGAGACGCGTGGCGTGCCACACAAACCAGTAAGCAGCAGCCTTCGCTGCTGCGACTCGAATGCTTCAAACGCGCACCTGTGCTTGCGCACGGCGTGCTCTACACGAGCCTCCCTACCGCACGAGCGTGCGGGCGGCTCGAATTCACCTTTCCCCCGGCGGCGGCGGCGACACTTGCAACACGAGCACACCTCGCTTCGGTGTGCTCGATCCTTCACAACGGGCCGCCCGCAAGGACGCGTGTGCGGCCCTCTCTACTCGACCTGTGCCACGGCACGGGTCGGTTTAGTCATGCAGCCGCCCCGGCGATCGTGCTCGGGGCGTATCTCAGCACTCACCGCGCGAGACGCGTGGAGTGCCACACAAACCAGTAAACAGCAGCCTTCGCTGCTGCGACTCGAATGCTTCAAACGCGCACCTGTGCTTGCGCACGGCGTGCTCTACACGAGCCTCCCTACCGCACGAGCGTGCGGGCGGCTCGAATCCACCCTTCCCCCGGCCTAGCCACTGTTGGCTGGGCGGCGGGCGCCGTCCGCCTTGCGGCGGCGGCGACACTTGCAACACGAGCACGCCTCGCTTCGGCGCGCTCGACCCTTCTCAACGGGCCGCCCGCAAGGACGCGTGTGCGGCCCTCTCTACTCGACCTGTGCCACGGCACGGGTCGTTCTAGTCATGCAGCCGCCCCGGCGATCGTGCTCGGGGCGTATCTCAGCACTCACCGCGCGAGACGCGTGGCGTACCACAAACCAGTAAGCAGCAGCCTCCGCTGCTGCGACTCGAATGCTTCAAACGCGCACCTGTGCTTGCGCACGGCGTGCTCTACACGAGCCCCCGACCGCACGAGCGTGCGGGCGGCTCGAATCCACCCTTCCCCCGCCCTAGCCACTGTTGGCTGGGCGGTGGGTGCCGTCCGGTCCGCCTTGCGGCGGCGGCGGCGACACTTGCAACACGAGCACACCTCGCTTCGGTGTGCTCGATCCTTCACAACGGGCCGCCCGCAAGGACGCGTGTGCGGCCCTCTCTACTCGACCTGTGCCACGGCGCGGGTCGTTCTAGTCATGCAGCCGCCCCGGCGATCGTGCTCGGGGCGTATCTCAGCACTCACCGCGCGAGATGCGTGGCGTGCCACAAACCAGTAAACAGCAGCCTTCGCTGCTGCGACTCGAATGCTTCAAACGCGCACCTGTGCTTGCGCACGGCGTGCTCTACACGAGCCTCCCGGCCACACGAGCGTGCGGGCGGCTCGAATCCACCCTTCCCCCGCCCTAGCCACTGTTGGCTGGGCGGCGGGCGCCGTCCGCCTTGCGGCGGCGGCGACACTTGAAGCGGTCGCGGCGCGTATGCGTCGTACTGTTAGGGCGGCCGGGCCCGAAGATGGCCCGGCCAGGCTCTGCATAAGGCCATCTTCGCCACAACGCGTGGCATTGGTCCAACTACGGCAACCCACAGCGAGGGGGGCCGCTTAGGCGACCTTGCTCACATCAGCTGCATATGCTTCAGTGGTGCAAGGAGGAGTGGAGAGGGACCTTTGACGGTGTATGGCCCAAATCCAATGGGGGCAGCACGTACCTAGTTGTGCGCATATGCGTACGCGACCGTTTTGGAGCGCGGGGCGGCGGCGTCGATAGATATCGACGCCGCCGTCGCCGCGCATCATGACGAGTTCGCATTCCCCATGTGACCCTCTATACCTCACCTTCGAGACAAGCCAGGGTTCAACCCAATGGACCTAGTGTGGCGTCGAGGCCCGCACTGTCTGGACATGCGGGCCGCGGCTGACAGAACGGCGGGCTAGGCATTGAGAGCCCAGGAGTTTTAATTCTCCCAGTAAGCTAAAAGTATACACTGAGAGAGAGAGACGTTAATCGCGCCTGCCTCTCCTTTTCTCCCAGAAAGCTAAAAGTACGAACTTTCACTGATAAAGGACGGAGAAAGAAAGTCAGCTGTGCAGAGCTGTGTCATGTTCCGTGCCCGTATCGTACGTTCGCCGTTCATCGCCGACATTGTCGCGCCTGCTCTCCCTCGAGGATGAAGACGGCCACCATGAAATTGATGACCGTCGACGATGCGCTCGAGGTTGTCGCGGCGGCCCTCCGACCCACGCTCACCACCACCGCGCTCCACCTCCCAATCCACCGCGCTCCACCTCCCCATCAGGAGCTCGGCGTGGGCTGCTTCACCGTGCAGTTGATAATGGTGTGTGGCCTTGGTTGGCTCGCCGACACCGCGTGGATCACTGCAGTCATCTCGGCGACCGTGCCCGTCCAGTACGAGTTCCCGGGCCTGTGGGAGCTGGGGTCCATCAGCATCAACCCGGCAGACTACCTGCTGCCCCTGCTCTTTGCCTGCCAGGGGGTGGGAGGCGTCATCTTCGGCCCGGTCGCCGACACTTTCGGCCGCCGCCTCGCCTTCATGCTCACCCTGCTAGTCTCCGGCTCCGGCGGCGTCATCGGGGCTTGCGCGCCCAACATGCTGATCCTCGTGCTTGGCGTCGCCGTCGCGGGCCTTGGCGTGGGTGGCAACATGCCTGTCGATGGCGCCCTCGCGGTCGAGCTGTGCCCCCGCAGCGCGAGAGGCAGACTGATGACGCTGCTCACCATCTTTTGGAGCATCGGCGGCGTGGTTATGTACCTGGTCGCGTGGGCCGCCATTCCAAACAACACCTGCGACCCTCCCGATCAATCCCCATCAACCAAGTTGGGGGTCCAGTGGGCACCTTTGGTGGAGTTTTGCGACCCGGCGGACAACCGGGGGTGGCGCTACTGCCTCGGCAACCGCGCTTCTCCGGTGCTTTCGCCTCACGAGCCATTCTGACTCAACGCACCCCGCTGGGCGCAGGTGCCATCTCGCTCATCTGCCTCGCCTCGATGGGATCGCGGGTCGGGTGGCCAGAGTCTCCTGCGTGGCTAATGGCGCAGGGGCGCACGGAAGATGTCATGGCCGTGCTGCAGCAGATCGGCAAGATGAACGGCACGTCGCTGCCGCCCGATTTCATCCTCATCAGCAGCACCGCTGTGCCGGAGCCATCGAACTCCCCGGCCTCTCCACCGCTCACTCCGGTGTCGAAGCGAGCGACCCGGGTGGGCCCCACCTCTACTGCGTGGGACTATGACGCCGTTGCCCCGCCGGCTGACCGCTGGGCCTTCCTCCAGCTGCCTTGGATGAAGACTACCGCGGTGCTACTTGCATTTCTCTGGTTCCTCAGCAACTTTGGATACGGTGTGGCCGCGCTGCGAATCGACCTCGCCCCGCCACCCCTCACCGTCCCCATCCCGCCGCCAGGCATCTTCAACTCGATGAATCTGGAGCTTGTCGCCGCCAAGCTGGGCGGGGTACCTACGTCAGACAACACATATTTGCAGGCCATCTATATGTCTGCCGCTGCGCCCGTTGGCGCCCTCGCGGGCGCGTTCATCGTCGACTCTCCCCTCGGAAGAAAGTGGACGCTGGTCGTGGGCATCCTGACGATGGCCGCGTCGATGATCGGATTCCTGCGCACAAGCACGGAGAACGGCGTCGTGATGACGGGCGCGTTGACGCAGGCCACCTCGCAGATCATGTACGCCGCCCTCTACCTCTACACGCCGGAGGTGTTTCCGACCGCTGTGCGCGGGTGCGCAGCCCACCGCCCCGCGAGCGGCCGCCGGGAGCTGGGGCAGACGGGGCGTGACACGACGCGGCCCCCTCTCCCCGATGTGTCGCGCAGCACCTGCGTTTCGACGCTGTCGCTCCTCTCGCGCATCGCCGGCATCATCGCGCCAATCGTCGGGCACACCCTCTTCGGCAGCCGGAGGAGAGCGTGCCCCCATGGCCGTTGACGAGTGTTGACAGAGACCTCCCCCCCCTCCCCTCAGACAAGGGCGTGTCCGCCAACGGCGTCGTATTTGTCGGGCTCAGCTGCATCGGCACAATGGCGCCTCGCGCCACGCGCTCGCCCCGCCGATTCTCGCGCACAATCCCAATGGAGGACCCGCCATCTCTATCTGCATAGGCCCTCTTTGGCGCGCTCCTGCCGCTCGAGACGCGGAATCGAGACATCGCATGAGGGCCCGAGATGGGAAGGTATTGCTGCAAGAGTGGAGCCGGGACGCGGGAGGGCCTTGCTGCCGGGATCGGCGGCCGTACTCTCTGTCTCGGCCCTGCCCACACTCACCTGCTGCATGCGGAAAGGCGAAACGGCCAGGAACGGCGCGGAGGCCGGAGCCTGACGGACCGTTGGGACGCCCGCCTGAGACCGCGCGCGCGAGAGCTACCTCTAAGTACGCCGTGTACTGCTGCGACGTCGCATGTACATCTACTTTACACATGCAATATATTCTCGATAAAAAGGCATCGCTGGATTTTCTACGCTACACGTGGGGCGCAGCGTCGCATGAGGAGCCAACTTCAGAGAACAGGTGAGCCCACAGTGCCGGTGTGCTCAGTGGACAGTGCTGCGAGAGTCCCTGCAAAGAGAGCTCTTATTTTACCCGCCCCTGTACGCGCTCAGTAGAAATCCCGGTCGTAGTTGTCGCGTTGCATCGGTCGCTCGGCGCCTTGCACCGGGGCGCCATTCGGGCCGGTGACGTTGACAGCTGCCTGCGCAGAGAAGGGAAGGAGACGGTGCTTACACACCGCTCGCGGCACCTTCCTGGAGGGACAAACGAAGGGGGAGCGCCTGCTTCCCATTCGGCTGGAGCTCGATATCGAACTCTACCGGCTCGTTGTCGGCCAGCGAGCGGTAGCCGTCGGCAACAATGCCGGTGTGGTGAACAAAAACGTCGGAGCCGTCCTCCTGTGTGAGGAAGCCGTAGCCGCGAGTGGTGTTGAACCACTTGACCTTGCCAGTGTTCGTCGCGAGCTCGCGGCGCGATGTAGCCAGCGCCAGGGCCGGCCGCGCCACGCGTTGGCGAGACCAACGTGCAACGACTGCGACACCCCGGCGCTGCGCCAAGAACATGCGCGCGCCTCTGCGTGGCACCGCGCAGTGGCACTAACACAAAAGAATTTTACAACTAAACTCCCTCGCACACAAAAGAATTTTAGCAGCGTTTAAAACATTTCACCACTTCCCTCGCCGCACGACACTACTCACTATAAAGGCACGGGACTGGCGCGCGCACTGGCACTAACACAGGAAAAGAAATCGGCGCGTTAACAAAATTCCCTGCCAAGAACATGCGCGCGTCTCTGCCCAAAAAGAAATTCTTAACCTTATTAGGCACCTGGCGCGCACTATATCCACTGACAAAACCATTTGCATTTCTCACCACTTCCTCGCCGCACGACACTACTCACTAAGGCACGGGACTGGCGCGCGCACTGGCACTAACACAGGAAAAGAAATCGGCGCGTTAACAAAATTCCCAGCCCAACCACCCCACCAACCAAGATCAATCTTTTGAAGTGACTTCTGATTCCCCGGGCCACCTTGCTTCGTCCTTGCTTCGTCGCCGATCGCGCCTCACGCCCGCCGCCGCGCGCCCCTGCCGGCCCGTCAGGAGGGGCCGTACTTTGACATCTGCGACTCTGTGCGCGCGAGCTGCGAGCGCAGCGTCGCCTGGTAGGCCGCCTCCGCGCGGTCGGCGCTCTCCTTCTCCTGCACCTTGTTGAACTCGCTGATGGCGCGGCCGTGCCTCCGCTGCTGGATCTGGTGCTCCAGCTGCCGCGTGTAGTCCGCCTTGGCCGCCGCCGCCGCGCGCGCCTTTGCGGCCTCCGCCGCCTCGATCTCCGCCAGCTCGGCCTCGAGGCCGCGCGCTCGATCGGCCCGAGGGTCCCTACGACGATGCCGGCCCCTGCCCCGCACGACCCGCCCGCCGCTCGAGCCGTCGCCTGACCCTTCCGCGGCCCCTTCCCCGTAGGCGCTCCACGCCGCTCCGCCTCGACGCCTCCCCCGCGCACGGGCCTGGCGGCGTGGGTGTGCGAGGAGGGCGGCGCGGGAGGAGGGCGGCGCGAGCGCCTGCGCCATGAGCTTCTCTCGCGCCTCCTGCTCGCTCCCCCAGACCGCGAGCCGCTTGCCTGTTCCACACACGCGCGACGGGCAGTGAGGAGGCGCCGCCCTCCAGACACCCCCCGCCGCCCGGCCCCCGCTCACCCCACGCGTCGTCGAGAGCCGCCTGCCGCGCCTACAGGCAAGGGGCCGCGGAAGGGTCAGGGAAAGGGTCGGGCGGAGGTCGAGTAGCGCGCAGCCCTGCCCCGCCTCGTCGTTGGCGCCCTCGGACCGCTCGATCGCCCGCTTCTGCGCCATCATCGAGTCGGCGAACGAGCGCGTCGTCTGCTGCATCTGGTGGCGCGCCGCCGCCTCCTTCTCCTCCTGCGCCGCCTCCGCCGCCAGCCCCGCCGCCAGCCGCTCCTCGTCCTCCGCCTGCGGGACACGTCCTGGACAGGTCGTGGACGGGTCCAGCGAGAGGCCGCGAGCGGGTCCTACGCCTCCTCCGCCTTCTCCCGCGCCTCCGACTCGGACAGCAGCGACTGGCGCGCCGCAGCGTAGGCGCCGAGCTCGGCGTACGAGTCTCGCACCTGCCGCTGCCTGCAGGGGCAAGGGGGCGGAGGGGCGGAGGAAGGGCCGTGGGAGGGCGTGGGAGGGAGACGCGTCTGTCTCGGCCGCCGCCGCAGGATCTCGTGTCAACCTCCGCCGCCGCAGGATCTCGTGTCAACCTCTCGGCTAGATCTCGGCTCGATCTCGGCTCGATCTTTGCCGGATCTCGTCCACCTTCGCCGCCTCGGCCCGCTCGTGCGTCGCCTGCTCGCGCAGCAGCGCCGCCTGGCCGGGTCCAGCGGGGGAAGGGTGGTGTGGGAGTGTGGCAGGGCGAGGGTGGCGGGTGGAGGGTGGCGGTGGAGGGTGGCGGGGGAGGGTGGCGGGGGAGGGTGGTGTGGGAGGGTGGCGGGGGTGGTGGTGTGGGCTGCCTCGCGCTCGGAGAGCTCACGCTCTCTCGCGCGGTGGCGGTGCAGCTCGTTGACCTGCGGAGAGGGGGAGGAGGGGCGGTGAGGAGGGAGCTAGGCGGCGGGTGGCGGCAGGGTGGCGGCAGGGTGGCGGCAGAGGCGGAGCGGCGCCTGGCGGTCGAGGATGGCCGTGTGCTGCCGTCCCATCGCTTTCCGTGCCAGCGCGTCCGCCTCCTCCCGCCCCTCCTTTGAGAGTCGGTCCTCCTCCCACAGCTTGTCGAAGGCGCGCTCCTCCGCCTCCTCGAGCTCGAGCGCGCGCAGCTTCTCGCCGAGCTGGTACGCGCGCGCCTCGTTGGTCGCCTTTTGGATGAGCTTCGAGTCCCGCGCGCGCAGCGGGTCGCACGACAGCCGCCACTGACGCTCGTACTGCTCCTTGACGAAGGCCTGCTTCTCCGCCTCGCGCCGCTCGCGCAGCTCCTCGGCCCGCGCAACCATCTTCTCCTTGCGCTGCTCGGGCGTCTCCTCGAGCGCCTCGAGCGCCGCGGCCTGTTCGGCCTGCTCCGCCGCGAGCAGCTCCGCCAGCCGGCGGCGGCGGCCCTCCAGCGCCGCCGCGTCCTGCTGCCGCAGCCGGTTGTACCGCTCGTTCAGCCGCCGTGCGCCGAGCGCGGCGTCCGTCCGGACCTCGAACGCCGTGGTCGCGCCGACCTTGCTCTGCTCGCGGCCGTGGTCCTCGTAGACGCGCCGAGCGTCCTCCTGCTCCCGCCGCTTGAGGATGAGGTAGTCGGGCGGCAACCGCACCATGAAACGGTTCGTCCTCGCGGTTTTTCTGCAGTCTTTAACCCCCACGCCCCCCCCCCCCCCCCACCACATATATGAAATCGTCGGGGATGGGAGTACGAAACGGCCGTGTAGGAAAGAAAAAACTTATGCACGTGCAAGTGTCGTGTTGTGTCTGTTTTCTTTCTTTCTTTTCGTGTTCTCGAGGTTCTCGAGGGGCATATCCTTTGGGGCTGGCAGGCCTGCCCCTTTGCGCCGCGCGTGCTGCGCCCGTCGCGGCTCAACCCTGCGGCGGCGGAGGTGGCGTCTCGCTTGCACGCCGCGCTGTCATCTCGGCTCCTCGGGGTCATATCTCGGCTCATCTCGGCTCATCTCGGGTCGACACTACTACGATATTCATTCCTTTGCTTTCTTGCTACGGAGGGATGGGAGGACGGCACACGCCGCCACCACACAGGTGACAAGAAGAAGAAAGAGAGAGAGAGATTTTAACAAGAAACGACACGGATTTAAAGGAGAGAATGGGGTGCCAGCGTCGCCCACCCTTGGGAGTCTGCCTCTTCCTATTTCTCTTCGCAGTCTCTACAAACAAAAAATCAGTCTCTCGCGCGCGCCACAATCAATTCTCGCAGCAACCTTCATGCCACTTCGTTCGTACCTACCTCTCGGTCGTCCCACTCTGCAACTCTGCACTCTCGTCGTTCTCTCTCCTCTCATGTGTAATTTATGTAAAATGTGAGTTTTGAGATTCGCACATCGTGTTCTTTCGTTTGAGTCTTGTTGTTTGTCCAGGGATGTGTCCATTAGAATATTTCCAAGAAGCCTGGAACGATGATGTGCTGAAGGGGAAGTGAGCCGGACGTCGACGAACACCTTCTCTACGGTCTGCTTCTCACCCCGCGGCCTCTCCGCACCATCTCGCGCTCTCCGGGACACGCTCTCCACGGCGGGGATGCCGCTCCTGCCAAGAGCTCACCGACCTTCCACCCTCCTCCCGCCGCAGGAACGCCTTCTCCCCGTCATGACGGCCAACCCGATGCAGACTGTGACCGAGATCTGCGGCATAATTCTGGGGCAGGAGGGCAAGCCTCTGGATTCGTCCGCCTCCCTCTTTGACCTCGGAATCGACTCGTTGGGTTTCGGGGAGCTCGTCCTCCAGCTTGAGGGCGCGCTTCGCCCAAAAGTAAAAGGGCGGAGGGGTTTCCCGCCCCCAGCCCCCCCCCCCCCCCCGCGCAGGCTCCTTTGGCGACGGCATCATCACCGTCGACGACATCATGGACTCGCCCTCGATCCACGCGATCGCCAACAAGGTGTCGGGCGGCAAGCTCGGCGACCACGCCGCCACCAAGCAGGCCGCGCCCAAGATCGAGCAGGCCCCCACCGCGCCCACCTCCACCGCGCCGACCGAGATCGCGGTGTCGGTCACCCCCACGCGGGTCGCGCCCTTCGCGCCCACCTCCGTCCTCAAGACCCCGGCGCCGCCGGTCGCGCCCGTCACGCCCCTCGACGCGGGCGTCAACTCGGCCGTCCTCGAGCGGCTCAGCATGCTCGAGTCGGCGTGCAAGGAGCTGCGCTCGCTCGTCATCGCCTCGACGCCCGGCGCCGAGGCGGCGGCCCCGTCCCTGGAGGCGTCCGCCGCCGCGCTCGTGAGCCAGCCCGCCGCCGAGGCGCCAAAGCCCCAGCCCAAGCTCTGGATCCAGACGACGCACGTGGGTAGCCTGCCGCGCGCGCCCAACGCGAGCGACACGGGCAAGATCATCAGCCAGCAGGTCGACGTGGGCATCGACATCATCAACGACGGCGAGTGGAGCCGCGACAACTACGTCGCCGACATGCTCCAGCGCATCGACGGCGTCGGCCTCGGCGCGGGCGTGGTGATGAGCGAGGGGTGGTCGTGCGTCTGCGAGATGCCGTGCGCCACCGACATGCGCACCGTGCCCGTGTACGCGAACCGCTTCACCGGCGCGAATGGGCTCATCACGCTCAACCCGCGCCGCGTCGCGCAAGCCAACATGGCGTGCCACGCCCGCCCCACCTACGTGCTCTCCGGCGCGCAGCAGGTCCGCGAGACGGTGCGGCCGCTGCTCGAGTCGCTCGCGGCAGCGGGCCGCTCGCCGTCCGACTCGTTCTGGAGCGCGCCGTCCCCGGGCACGATGGCCGTCTTCTGCGAGGACCGCTTCTTCCAGGACCACGTGATGTACGTGCGCGCGCTGGCCGAGGCGATGCGGCCCGAGTACGAGGCGATCGCGGCGACCGGCCTGCAGCTGCAGATCGACTGCCCCGACCTCGCCATGGGCCGCCACACGCGCCACGCCGACCTGAGCGACGAGGCCTTCCTCGCCGTCGCGGAGGCGAACGTCGAGGCGCTCAACTACGCGCTCGAGAACATCCCGATGGAGCAGGTCCGCATCCACGTGTGCTGGGGCAACTACGCCGGCCCGCACCACCACGACATCGCCGCGGCCGAGATCTGGCCGGTGGTCGCCAA